TGACACCAATAAAGATCTGAAAGAAACAGAGGTGATGAAACCTATCTCATGCCAGTTTAACTTTCCTGTTTGGCCTGTGAACACGGTGGATGGATCTTGGAGAATGACTGTAAATTATTATAAGTTTAATTAGGTGATGCCTTCAGGAAGAGCTGCTCTTCTATAGGTAGTATCTTTACTGGAATAAATCAACATAGCCTCTACCATTTGGTATGCAGCTATTGAACTGGAAAGTGCTTACTTTTCCATACAAATTGGCAAGGAACATCAGAAGCAATTTGCTTTTACTAGGCAGGGCTGACGATATAACATCACAGTCTTACCCTGCAATTACATCAGTTCTCCTATTCTCTGCCATATTGTAGCCCAGAAAGAAATTGAGCATCTCAGCCTTCCAGTCAGCATTGAATTGCTCTAATACATTGAAGATGTTATACTAATTGAATCTGGGGAGCAGGAAGTAGCAAATAGGAAAAAAGAACTATCAGAGTCCAATATAATTTATACCTATAAATTTTGAATCATTGTGAAAGTGTTTTAAATTTCTCAGCTATTTATATAAAATAAGTGCTCATCAATAATGACTACCTGTCTCTCAATTGATGTTTCTATCTCTCACTCCCTCTCCCTTCCTCTCTCTCTAAAATAAATAAATAAATAAATAAATAAATAAATAAATAAAATAATGACTACCAAGTGGTCATTGTTAAACTCTCTTTTTGAGGAATTACATAGTTATTTCAAACACACACATTACATTAAAATGTTATGTGTATAGCCCTTGCCAGTTTGGTTAAGTGAATAGAGTGTCAGCCTGCAGATTAAAGGGCCTTAGGTTCGATTCTGGTAGAGGACATATATCCAGGTTGTAGGCTTAATCCCCAGTGGGGGCCACGCAGAAGGCAACCAATCAGTGATTCTCTCTCATCATTGATGTTTCTATTTCTACCTCCCTCTCCTTTCCTCTCTGAAATAAAGAAAAAAAAATTTTTTTAAAGTTATGTTTACAGATATAATCTCAAGTTTCTTCACTAAAATTTTTAGAATAATTTATTTAGAAGCATAATATAAAATTAATATTTATCATCCTTAATATGTTTATCTTATTTTTCTCATTATATAATATAAAGAAAACAACTTTTTCCATCCAGCCCATACAGTTGGCCTTCAAATCCCCTTTACCCCAGTGTGCTACACAAATATCATTTCTAAGATGTGAAAAAGATTGAGAAGCACTGCTTTAACTTCAGATCAGGATTCTTAACCTCAATTAATTTTATTAAATGTATGAAATATGGAAGTGTATCTTTCTGGAGAGGTGATTAATAGTTTTCATTAGGTTTTAAAGCTTAAGAACCAGCTGGTCTCAGGAATTTCAGAACTTCCCCTATAATTTCACCCCGAAAGAAGAAATGATAGAAATTAAGGATTAATTGAACTCCAACAGCAGAAACAGGTAATTATCACGGGTGAGAAGAATAAAAGTGCTATTAATGGAAGTAGGAGGACTTTTATCTTTTTGACACACTCTTGTGGGAATATTGCTCTTGGTCTTTCTTCTCAAATTCAACCAGTATAGTAAGAGGATTCTAGGATTTTTCTCTCTATTTGAATTAGAGATCTTCTCTCTCCGATCACCTGAAGACCAGGTAGGAACCAAGGGGGAGCCCAAGGAAAAGTATATAAATATTAGAGGCCTAGTGCATAAAAACTCATGTCCCTCACCCTGGCCTGCCCCCTCTCACAGTTCAGGAGCCCTCTGGGTGGGAAGCAACCCCAGTGATCAGGGGAAAGCAACGCCCCATCACACCCCTGCTGCTGCCACTGCCAGCAGCATAAGCCTTGGCCAGCCCTGGTTACCTGAGCCTCAGGCAGCCCTGGGCAGCTGGACAGCCATCATCCGAGGCTTACTTGTGCCTTGAGTCAACCCTGGGCAGCTGGGGGGCTGAGAGGACTGGGGGACTCTGGAGGCAGGCGCACAGAGTGGTCAGGCCCATGTTGGGGCAGGCCTGGCCTTGCTACTCCTGCAGCCCCAATGGGGCTAAGGGGACTGGGCACTGCCATCTTGTGGCTGTGGGTGCTACCATCTTTGAGAATGGGGCAGTCAATTAGCATATTCCCTTGGGGACTAGCAGTGATGACAAGCCATACCACCACTAAACCCTATTGTCATTATTTGATGTGGTTTCCCCAGCTAACAGACTATGAAGCTGTTAAGAGAGGTAGATAGACTCTTATCATATTTTGTTCTTAAAAGTGTCTATATATTATACACATTCAAGGTGAATAAATGCCCTGACTGGTTTGGCTCAGTGAATAGAGCGTCAACCTGCGGACTTAAAAGTCCCAAGTTCGATTCCAGTCAAGGGCATGTACCTTGGTTGCGGGACACATCCCCAGTAGGGAGTGTGCAGGAGGCAGCTGATCGATGTTTCTAACTACCCCTCTCCCTTTCTCTCTGTAAAAAAAAATCAATAAAGTATATTTTTAAAAATTAAGGTGAATAAGCTAAAAAAAAATTGCACCAATAATTTTTACATCTTCGTTTTCTTAAAAACTCATATACCAGGAAGAGATACTTCCCCTGTAAATTAATAAATTAAGTTCCTGATACAAACTTAATGTGAATTTATGATCCCAATTTTGACCAGGGTTGTATCACCTTAGATATGTTGTGTAAAAAGGTTCCATGCCTACCTACAGATGAGACATGTTAACCACGAATCTACTTCTCCTACTATTAAGGTATGAATCATCTTTAGTTATTTTTGTTCCTTTTTGCTAGATGCTATTTTCTACACATAGGGTACACTCAGCAGAAGCTAACTGAACTTGGAACAAACTTTAGAAGCTAATGATCTTAATTACATACAAGGCTTTGCAGTTTATACTGCAATTTACCGTACACCATTCTCATTTGATCACAAAAATCCTGTGAATTAGAGCTTTACTGTAGAGATGAAGAAATGAAAACTCAAAAAGTTTAAGCCATTTGCTTAAGGTTTGAGAGCTGGGATTAGAAGCCTATGGCAGTGCTCTTTCCCACTGTAAGATTAATGAAATTGTCTCTCTTGTCTTCCAAAAGAATTCTTTAAGATTATATTGCTACACAAAAGTAGAGTGCTGTCTCTGAGTCAGTAAGAAAGTCAATATGTAAGTACATTTCTAAGAACTATTGATTTGAATAATTTTTTCTAGAATGGTTCTTTGGTTTATAAGCCATTCAGCTTCCAGCTATGTATATCTCTGGCTCTGCATACAGCTGCTCTGTTTGGTCTTCTAAGTACTGATTCAGAGTTCTTACTTCTGAACTTTTATCTACTCTTTTTCCTGTTTACCAGGTAGCTCTGGGAAAAACACAGTCAAGGTGGTTTAATCTGTGAATCATACATCTTTAATTGTCTCGCAGGCATTCTTGACCACCACCAGGGGGCAAAAGCCGACCAGCTGGCTTCTCTGTGATACGCTGCTTCTCCATAGGACAGACAGTACAGTACGGGGACCCTCGGTGTCTGATTCTCCGTGGAACCGCCCTGCTAATTATGTCAAGCCCAGGGCCCCTGGGAGAGAACAAAGGCTCGGCGCAGAGGGCACTATGGCACTTCCCATACAGAAGCCAGAAGGCGCTCAGCAGCCCTGTCGGGTGTAAAAGCAGCAACGGAGATCCCAGAGTCTGGGTGACAAACAGGAGGAGGTGGGCTTCAGTAACTGCACTCTCCGGAATGTGTTTTCCACAGCTTTGCTGTGCATGCTGGTGTTCACCAGAACATCCATTCAAACGGAGCAATAGCTTTGTCCGTTCTCTCTGGGTAACCCATGGTATTTGCGTAGTGCCTTCTTTCCCCCTTTGTAATCCTGATGTCCCATTATCTCCTTGGCTTAATGGGCTGCGGACGGCTTGTCTTTAAGGAACGGGCTCCTTTGAAAAAATAGTTCATCTGCATTTCACACGTGTCTACGAAATAATGAAATACAGAAACAAGGTGAAGAAACCTCTATAGAAGAAAAACCCTGGTTAATTTCCTCCCAGTAGGAAGCAAGTGGCAGGTACCTGGCAGGTTGGACCCTCAGCACTCGGAGCCCAGCCCTCTGGGCCTGGCAGGCGCCCTCAGCCTCTCTTTCCCTCAGGAACAATGAATGAGTCCTTGACAGGGGCCCGGGGAATAGAGGACCCGGGGGAGAGGAGGGGTGCCATGAAGCGCCCCGGGGAATACAATGAAAAATCTTTCAAAAAGGCTCGTCCTAAGACTTGCACGGGCTCTGAGGCCGAAGGGTGGGAAAGATGAGAGAAAGCCCGCGAGCCCGGGTCCGAGGAAGGTGACAAACTCGAGTCCCGCTCACGCCGGGTGGGTTTCCAGACCGTAAGCTCCACCCCCGCTCCGAAAGGGGGTCCGAGTCCCGCGGAGCCCGTTCCCCTCCGGAGAACCTGTGTCGGCGTCAGGTTTTCACCTCAGTTTCTCGGCCCTGAGGTGGGGTAAGCCGTGCGCCCACCTCAGAAAATGGTTATCTCCAGCGCCCCTCCGGCCCCGGCTCCGGCCACCCCCCACCCGACTCCGTCACCCGCCGCCGCGGACTGGCGACGCGAGAGCCCGGCGCGAGGGCGGGACCCGGGAGGGGGCGGCGGCGGCGGCGGCGGCGCACTCTCCCGCCGCTTCCGGCAACTCAGGGGTTAGCGCGGCGGCGGCGGCGGCGCGCGCCGAGGGGAGAGGCGGTTGCTGACAGGTGGCGCCTGCGCACTGGGAGCGCTCATTGTGCCCCGCAGCTGCCGAACCGCCCGTCAGTCCGCCCGCCGCCCGCTCGGTGCGTTGGTCTGCGAGAGGCCGGGCGGTGGGTGCGGAGCCTGCGGCCATCCCCGCGGCCTCCTTCTCCTCCTCCCCGTTCCCTCCTCTCCCCCTCGCCCCCCGACCCCGCACTCCTTTCCCCGTTCCGGCTCCGTCACCCTCCCGCCCCTCACACTCAGGACGAGAATGCCCTGCCCGGAACAGCCCAGCAGCGCCTAGATGGCTTTGGTCACGGTCCAGCGATCGCCGACCCCCAGCACCACCTCCAGCCCCTGCGCCTCGGTGAGTCTCCGCCGCGGCTGCCCGGCTCGCTTCTGTCACTGCGGCTCCGCTTTGCCTCAACGGGTCCCGCCGAGCGCCACTGCGCACGCGCCGCGCCGCTTCCCAGGCCTTGGCACCCGGCTGCCGCGAACCCCCCACACCCCCATCTCCCGGGCGAGCCGCAGGAGCGACGGAACGTCGGTTTCTGGCCCCCTCGCTCTGGGCACCGAGCTCTCACAGCCCTCGCCCGAACCCCCCGGTGGCATGCTCTCCTATGGCTTGAGCACTTCCTTTCGGGAATGAGTCATTCTGGCTCTTCACCCTCCTCCTTCCTTTTCCCTCTGTTGCTTTGCTGCAGGGAGAGGACCATGGGACTCCGGCGTTGCCCCTTTTACATCCATCCACGCCCGCCTACCCGCACCCATGCCATGGGCCCGTGTTCGAGCACTGCACACCCTTCCTCAGGCTCGCCCTCTGCCTTCCCCGAGTCGCTTGCTGTCTTTCCTGTGTTCTGTACTGTTCGGGCGTCACTGGACTGCTGAACGGTTACTCCTCGGTCTTTTCCCTCCTTCCCTCCCCCCCCCCCCCCCCCCCCAGTGTGGCTATGGTCTCCGCTTCTTGAACTTATCTTTTCCTCTGTGGAGATCCCCAAAAGCATCTGGCGCTGCATGATGACCAATGCCAACTCATTTACATCTTACAGACATTTATGCCTTACACTTACTGCTCATGATCGTTCTTATTCTTGGGTCACGTTTGTATGGCTCCGTAGTTCAGATGCCTATGCCAGGGAGGCAGGCTTCCAGCAGGAACATACCCAGTAACCAGCCTTTTCCTGCTGGGCCCTTCTTCGCCTTCTTTCCTCATCCCGCCCCCACTCTTGTACACACTATTCTTTTAGGCTTTGTTTTTGAAAATACTCATTTTTTTTTCCTTCAAAATAAAAGATTGCACCAGGCGGGAGAAATGGGATCTTTCATTGAAAAGTAATCCAGATGTTTTAGAGGGAAGCAGACTGAATAAAACTATGGGCAATTGGGGAAAACCGTCTTGAACTTCCTACAAAATTGTAATTTTTAAACTGTGCTAGTGGATTTAGTAGTTTAAAGTTGCAAAAAGATATTCAATAAACACTGTGTCACCTTCCAGTGTAAAAAAAAAAAAAAAAATCAGCTTACTCTTCTGTTTATATGTTAACTGGCTTGTAATTTTAACAGTTTCCTGAATTGCAAAATTTTGTATACAGTGGTGATTTCTTTCTTTTCCCCTTAAGCTTTCTTTTGCCTTTTGTGTTATCTAATTGACAAATATATCCTAATTCTGGAAGTGATTATATTTCATAGGTTAATTTACCTTGTGTTATTCCAGAGACCAGAACTAGGATCCTTGGGTAGAAGTTCAGGGAGGCAGATTTCCAATGATTGTAAACAAGAATTTTGTAACAATGGAATGGACTGCCTTGCAAAATAGTGAGTGCCCCTTGCTGAAAGTATTCAAGCAAAGTCTGAAGGCCTTTTGCCTAGGAGGTAATAGAAAGTATTCCTGAAATGGGGAGACTTCTAAGGCTTTTTCAAAGGTTCTGTGATTTGAAAATAATTGCCCTTCAAAGGTAGAAAACAGCTTAAGGTCCTCTGAAGACAAGTGTCATGGGGATAGAAATTTAATATACAATACTTCATTATTATAATATATATGGTACTTTATGCCAGTTTTTAGAAAGTCATTAACATACTGTCAGACCATCTTAATTTATTCCACTAGTGAATTCTGTGAGGATAGTGGTTGCCAGGATTGATTTTGTTTAAAAAGCAACGGAAGATTAGTAGAATCATGCAAATAAACTAGAACCCAGTATTATAGTGACATAATTTTTCTTGGTCATTGTTGAAAACATGTATGCTGTCATAATATATGAACATCAAGTTATCATACTATTTTTCTTGAGGTGAATGATTAGTATATTAATACATTAAGACTACATCTATGATTAAATTCATGCCACTTGATATGACTTAATTAGCCAAACTTGGGTTATTTTAGAGTCTTTAGGTATGTTAATAGTCACTTTTGACATAAGTAATTAAATTAGTCATGTGGTTAGCTCACTTGCTGAGCTAAATGACTGATGTTTCTACATCTACTTGCTATACTAGCCTGGTTATTTCAGTTGTTTATATGTGGCCGAGGGTGTAAAGGAATCCTGGGACTGGGGTGTGTGTGTGTGTGTGTGTGTGTGTGTGTGTGTGTGTGTATCTGTGTGTGTGTGTAACTAAACATTAATAAATGATTGATGAGCCAATTACCTTTCCCTTTAAATTGTCCTAATTAATTGGAAATTTAAGAATTATCTTTTTCCCTCTGTTCTTTCTGCTATGAATTTTAAGAATGGATACCCATATTGATCTAGGATCATACAGGACAGCAAACTGCTACAAAAATCTTTTAGTCTTCTGTAGTGCTTTATACTTCTCAGAATGTTTTTGTGATCATGATTTAAAACTTCCTAGAGTAGCTTTGTAAGTTATGCAAGACAGGTTACCGAGGTTAAAAGACTCACTGAGGGTTATAAAACTGGTTGGTGTAAGAACCTGAACTAGACATAAGTTTCTTGGCTCTTGGTTACATCTCTTTCCATGGAGTGATAAGAGAAACAGCATTAGTTTCTGATCCCGAGAATTTGACTGCCAGTATAGTAAAGAAACCAATACTTGAGATACAATCAAGAACTCACACTCTCTTTGGAGTTCATTTATATTGTAATCTTGAATACCTAGAACAGAATTATCCAACTCCATGCAGATCATGTTTAGGTAATACCTTATTTAAAGCCTTGGGCATTTAATTTCCTTAACTCTCAGAAGATTATAAAATAGGAATGAAAAGTGTGGCACTGCTGCTAAAGACAGGCTCCTTATAGTTCTGGGAAATGATAACGGTGATGGTTTTACAGCAAGGGAGGAGGAAGAAAACCTGTAGATAGCTGTCCTAAGGAAAAACATAGCACTTACAGACTACTGAATGTAAGGACAAATACCCACCTGTGATTCACTACTCCCTCAGAGCTAATATTATATAATCATATTGATGATCCTGAATATCATAAGAAGGCTTAATCTTGTTTTGTCTTGATTTAAGCAGTCAGGATTGAGTAAAGTATATTTTTAGATAAATGTTCATCCAAGTTTCATCAAAAAATTTGATGTTTAAAATATACATTTTAATTAATTGGGAAATTTATTTACATATATATCTTATTTCCTGATAATAATGGATAAGTAAGATATTTTTGAATTATATATAATCAAATATGACCCACCCCTCTCTCCCTAAGCAGAGAAAATAAAATCATAGCAAACATGAAATCCTCCTATATAATAAAAGGCTAATATGCAAATTGACCAAATAGCAGAACAACTGGTCACTGTGATGCATACTGACCACCAGGCTCAGATGCTCAATGCAGGAGCTGCCCCCTGGTGGTCAGTGTGCTCCCACAGGGGGAGTGCCACTCAGCCAGAAGCCAGGCTCACCCCTGGAGTGGCAAGAGCCTCTCCCTCCTCTGCAGCAGCACTAAGAGCCCCTTGGGCGATGTCCAACTGTCAGGGGAGTGGGCCTAAGCCAGCAGGCAGACATCCCCTAAGGGTCCTGGACTGTGAGAGGGTGCAGGCTGGGCTCAGGAACCCCCATCCCCAGTGGAAAATGCTATACACTGGGCCTCTAGTTGATTTATATTAATATGAATCATAGATACTTAAAAGTGATGCTTTTTAATTTTTAGAAACCTTAGAAATTCAAACTGTAAAAATAATACATGGCCATTATAGAAATTTGAAAAATACAGAAAAGCACAATAAAGAGAATAAAAGATATGTGCCATAAAGCTATGTATATATTTTACATATTTGAAATGCTGATGTATTGCCATATCACCTAAATGGCTACATTGAGTTATAACTCATTCTAACCATTCCATTATTGATGAGCATCTTGGTGTTTCCAACTTTTTTGTTTTACTATTATAAATTCAATTACATGAATATCATTGGCCATAAATATTCAACTGGAGTTTAGAACTTTTTTCTTTTTTAAAATTTAAATTATTTTTTTAAGTATTACATATGTCTCCTTTTTCCCCCCCATTGGTGACACCCCCCTCAACACATGCACCCCTCCCCCCATCTGTGTCCATTGGTTATGCTCATATGCATGCATACAAGTCCTTTGATAGATCTCTTAGCCCCTTACCTCCTGATTTCCCTCATAGGTTGGACAGTCTGTTCGATGCTTCTGTGACTCTGGTTCTACTTTTGTTCATCAGTTTATGTTGTTCATTATATTCCACAAATGAGTGAGATCAAGTGATATTTATCTTTCTCTTCTCTGACTAGCTTATTTCACTTAGCATAATGCTCTCCAGTTCCATCCATGCTGTTGCATATGGTAAGAATTCCTCCTCCTCCTCCTCCTCCTCTTCCTCCTCCTCCTCCTCCTCCTCCTCCTCCTCCTCCTCCTCCTCCTCCTCCTCCTCCTTCTTTTATTTATTTATATATATATATTTTTTTTACAGTATTGCATTGTGTAGATGTACCACAGTTTTCTAATCTACTCATCTGCTGATGGGCACTTAGGCTCTTTCCAAATCTTAGCGATTGTAAATTGTGCCGCTGTGAACATAGGGGTGCATATATCCTTTCTGACTGGTGTTTCTGTTTTCTTCTGATCTATTCCTAGAAGTGGGATTACTGGGTCAAATGGAAGTTTCATTTTTTAATTTTTTGAGGAAACGCCATACTGTTTTCCACAGTGGCTGAACCCACCAGCAGTGCAAGAGAGTTCCTTTTTCTCCACATCCTCACCAGCACTTGTTGGTTTGTTGATGATAGTCATTCTGACAGGTGTGACATGGTATCTCATTGTTGTTTTGATTTTCATCTCCCAGATGATTAGTGACTTTGAGCATGTTTTCATGTGTCTCTTGGCCTTCTGTTTGCCGTCTTTCAAAAAGTGTCTATTTAGGTCTT